CATTCTTCCTGTACTTTTAGCTGGATTCCATTGTGTGACATTCCTTGAAGACTTGCATTAGCTATTTATTAAATCTCCTCATTATTCTATGGATTGCTAATTCTCCCTGCTTTTTAATGAAATAAACAGTGAAATGTTATTTTCTTTCTCTAGATTATTAGTTGGTGTAGTTAGCAGTGGATGAATTTTAAAGTTCTTTTGTATAAAACATTTGCATCCATAGTAAGTGTAGGAAAAGGGCTGCAGACTGGTAGTACTAACATTTTTAGGGAGTAAGGAACATGTGAGATGTCTCCCAGATCTTCCAGACAAATATTGTGATTTTCCCTTAAAAAAGACACTTTACTTCTGCTATTAAAAACCTAACATTACGTCGAATCTTCCTCTAGTGTTTTCATAAATTCCACATGGCAAAGTTTTGTGTTTCTGGACTTTATAAAGTTAAAGAACAAGCGCCCATATTCTTTTCCACACAAGAAACCTTTGAGATAATGACCTCACTTTGAATCTCTCACAAATCTAGTAAAAGAATATCCAATATATCGTCAACTACTTCTAACCTTTCTAACCCACATGTGAACACCTCTAACTCTTATGGCCAATTGTAGTGAATGTATTCAATAACAAAATAGAGACTAGTAGTAACTTTGAGCGTCTGCCTGTCCCACACCAGGAGGGCAGGACATACTCTTTCTACTTCTGCTTATGTCTGGTGAAAACTTGGTAATCATGCTGGAGTTAATTAAAATGGTAAGAAAACAGGAGTTCAGAGGATTTTTTGATTACTTGGTTTACCCTTTTCAGTTTAAGCAATTGAAATAGCATCTTCCAGTTTAGGGTATTTTTTTTCTTTTCCCTAATAGATTTGGAAAAAAAAAACAGTAAATGAATGGAAAAATAAATACTAAGCAGATGAGAAAAAAACTTAAAAAAATTATTCTTGTCACAGTTCTGCTCAGGAACAATTTAGCAACTGGAAGTCAGGCAATAAGTAGTTTAATGACCGAAAATCTATTTTACATAGATGACTGATGAGACCCTGGAACATTTAATTCTTTTTAGTTCCTGGATTCTTCTATGAATTAGTTATTATCCATAAAGTTAAAGACTATTAGGATTTAGAAATAGACTTGTATTTTTGGTACTGTTCTTAAAATTTTCCAGAAAACCAGAAATCTAGATTATGATTTCTGTTTTCTTGTGTGTCTCATAGTGTCATAGTTTACTCTTTATATAGTTTTACTTTTCAGGACATTGGACCTCTACAGGAAGTTTAAGCAAGTGTTATCGGTAATAGATTAACACGGATTCAACATTTTTTGCTTCTCTTCTTATGGAAAGATGGCAATCCTCCTCTTGAATCTGAGTTTGCCTTACAGGTTTGCTTGATCATTGTGTGCTGCAGAGGAATATTCTGGAACTTCTCAGGCTGGTCCATAAGAACACTTGCAGCTTCCATCTGGGCCTATTGGAACATTTGCTTTTGAAACTCAGCCATCCTGTTGTGAGGAAGCCCAACCAGCCCCAGGGAGCGGCCCCTGGCCAACAGCCCCAGAAGAACTCCCAGCTGACAACCCCACTGACTTGACAGGCACGAGAGTGAGCCATCTTGGAAACGGATCTTCCAGACCAGTTGGGCTGCTATGCTTTGGGGATCGTGATGAACTCACCCTGCCAAACTCTTCCCAAATTGTAAATTTGTGAGCCAAAAACATGATTGTTTTTTATCTGAAGCCACCAAGTTGTGGAGTGATTTGTTATACAGCAATAGATTACAAAGTAGCATGTATTTCCTGGACTGATTTCTTTATTTTTAAAATTAAAAAAAATTACAGTTGATATTTTGTATTATTTTATATTTGTTTCAGGTATACAGTGTATTATTTACACAATTATATAATTTACTAAGTGATTCCTTGTATAAGTGTAGTACCTACCTGGCACCATACATAGTTATTGCAATATTACTTACAATATTCCCTATGCTGTATGTATCATCCTCATGACTATTTTGTAACTACCATGGGACTGAATTCTGAATCAACAGAAAAATAAGACAAAGGAGTCAGGAGAATGGAAAACCAAAATGTTTTTTTGATTTTCAATAGAGGTTAGGTTAGAGGATTTCTCTTAGTCTGACAGCCCATGTTAGTTTGTGGGACCCTACCCTACATTCCTGAATTTGCCCCCCTGAAACAAAGTTGAATTCAGTGCATGCAGGTCACTGCCTCCCACTGGTCCAGGTGAAGAAGGGAGCAGAAAGAGACCGATTTTGTCATGCTCAAACCCTGTAAGCCATTTAATAGATTAGATTTTCTCATTAGAGGAATGGAGATCAATGATGTCACTGACCACCAATCTGGTAATTCACTCCACATTTTTACAGAGAAATAAGAGTGTTTCCAGAATTTAGTAGTACTTAGGGGCAATTCCTCCTCATTTAAATTAGGAAACTGTGTTTAAGGCATTCTCCTCTCCCACTTAGTAAAAATTCAGAGAAGCTGTTCAGACAGAATGTTTCAAATTCTGACTCAGCAGCTTCATAGGAATGTGTCACTTTTGCAAGTGACTCAACCTTTGTGAGCCTCAGTTTTCTCATCTGTAAAATGTGGATAATAACGGCGCCTAACTTAATTAGGTCTAATATATAGTAAGAACCTAGCATGGTGTTTATATTGTTTGGTATTTTAAGAAGCTAGTAAAGACATTGGTGCTTAAAATATTAGGGCATGGGGAATTCTAAAAGAAAGACTGAAATAAAAATACCATAGGCTATGGTGTGGTATACACATAGCACATGGAACCACTTATCCTGCTGGATCCAGCTCTTTTATGGTGGTGGCCCACAGTGCCACCACGCGGTCCCCAGGGAACAGTAATTTCATTGATGTACTGCATCCCAGAATGGGGGTGCGGGGAGCAGGCGAGGTTGCAGGAAGGGCTGCACAGGAGAAGTCAACAAGCACAGCCCTGTTTTAAACCCAGAAGAAGTTCTTCCTTCTACTCTCACATTCAAGCCTTTTTGCTGAATCTGGCTAATTCAAGCAGATTTCTTAATTAGTCTGACTTATTTTGTGTTAGGGGATTACACATTGGTCTATTCCTTAATCGTGGACATATTTTCAGGGGTTCTTCCTTGCCATGGGGCTCTGGGGCCCCTTTGAAATTGAAGATGCAGCTGGACCCTGCTCAGCCCCACCTGAGTGTTCTTAGGTATCTTGGGATGCAGAAGATCTTTGGCAGAGGATTGCACAACTTCATGTGACTGCCTGTTCAAGCCCTGCCATAAAATAAATTATATACAGTTACTAAGGAAACCAGTGGCCAACTATTAAAAGCACATTTCTGAAATAGCAACGTATGTGCCTTTTTATGAAGACATTAAATATTGATATCTAGGAGCAAGTCTGATAAGTATCATAACGTTAAGTCATTACGAACATCAATTGTGTTTCAAAATACACAGAAACTGTAAAGGGTATAAGAAAATCTCAGTTCTATGGTGACCATGTCCCAGGAACTACCGACACTACTGTGGTTTGTCGTCTACATTTATAGTAGTAGAAAACGCTCAGCCTCACTTATGAGTTACTCAGAATAAGACAAAAAAAATTTTCTATGGATTTCAACATACCATGAATTCTATCATGCACATCCTTAGGTGATGGTACCCATGTTATCAAAGCTTTGTATGTCTTCCCTTTGCTATAGGGTATAATGTGGCCTTTACATGGTAGCTTGGCACAAGAGAATGGAACTTCATGGACAAATAGAGGCAGACTTTGGGGGAGGAGTCTTTGAGTCCCACGAAACAGATTAGACAACAGGGAGTTTTAAGTTTTGGGTTTAGCTTCACTTCTCCTCGTAACTGGGTTACTTGGGGCAATGAAATTTACTACTCTACATTTCAAGACCTCATCAGGAAAATAAGGAAGTTGGAGCAGCTGACCTCTGAGGAACTACTCTGATTTCATGTTCTGTTATTCTAAGAATCTTTTTTACAAAACTCAATTTCATGTTACCCCTACTTACTTCTTTATGATTTTAAGTGAGAACAGGAATATATATTATTTGCCAAATATTTCCCCAGGATATCCTTCACTTCAGAATTCCCCTTTCCCTCTCCACCAGGAATAAGAACACTACCTGAAACATGTTCTTTTCCTTGAAGATATTTGTCAGCTAAAGGAGACTGCACAAACTTAAAAAAAAAAAAAGCAAACTTGAATGTAAAATAAGCTATTTGCTTGGCTAATGGATTTTTGCATCTCCTTCATTGGTTACTTTTTATTATTTAAATTTCCAGAGAATGTGTTCTTGTAGCTGAAGTTCTCTTCTGAAGAATCTGCGGTGAATCCGTAACTATTACTACTACTACTACTAACAGAGTAAAGTAAGTGAACCAAACAAAGTTAGCTTGTTGTTTATCTTCTTACTAAGAGAAGGCTGTGGGAATAGTTCTGGGTGATACTTGAGCAATGAATGATCCAAGTTGAAGCATTTAAATCAGTGTGACTAGAGGGTTTAACCACATTTACACTAAACATCACTCAGTCGGTTAGGTTATTGAGCTGTCTCTTGTCTAAATGTGGCTCTTGATGAACATGAAATGTAAGTTAAAATGAGGAGTATGGGTGTGAAACACTAGCTCAAGTGTTTGGCACATATAAAAGCTGAGAGAGGAGCAGAAAACTGGAAACCCCAGGAGACTGAGATTTTTGCTCTTCCTTTGTTTAGGCCTCAAGGAATTTCAACTTTTTTTGAGTCCCTAGAGATTGTTGTAGTTTAGTCCCACCAAAACCTGAAGTCAGGGTGCATTAGTAAAAGTTGCCATGGGTCTCACTGCTCTCTCTAAAGGCAGACTACTTCTCCAGAAAGCATGCAAGGTCCGCTGGAAGACACGTTCAGATGCATTCCTGCAAAATGGAAATCTTTCCTCTTTGACAGGGCCATCATCGCTGTACCCTTCACTTTCTGCTCTCCTTTATGTTCTCTAACGAATCAACTGAAGGATAAATCCAGCTCACTAGGTGCTTGTACATGGTAGCAACTTGATCAACATTTATTTAAAAGGTAAGTGTTGGTTTCCTATCTGAGTCTTCCAGTTTCTGGCCTGACATGTAAAAAGCTTAGGAGCTGTCCTTTTGTTCTAACAATAAGTAAAAAGATGAACCGACTGAAAAAGAACAGTCACTTTTCTTAGATCTTCCAGAGAGGTAAGATTGGAAAGCAAGCAACTGCCCCCTGACATGGAGATAGAGGTGATACAGAAAAGTGCCTTTTACCCAATGAGCAATCCATGCACAGAATCCTCCTCAGAAACCAGTACCCGGCTGGGAAAATCTAAACTATAATTGACAAGTGGCTGGGGACTCTGTGGAAGAGTCTGGGAGTTAAGAATTCCAGGAGAAAGTCAGAGATAAATCCCCACACTTTTATGAATTTTAACTCTAGGAAAACATCTTAAAAGAAGTCAGGAGAGGAGAGGTAACACCTTACCTTTTGCTTGCATGAAGAGTGGAGTGAATATTTTAAATCTTATTTTTCATTTTTTATCGAGATGTAGTTGACATATAACATTGTATAAGTTTAAGGTTTACACATGTTGATTTGATACATTTATATACTCGTATTGCAAATTGATTAGCACTGTACCTTTAGTTAACACCTTTAAAGCTGGTGTTTTTGGTGTGGTTCGTTATGCATCATTACCATGGTAGTTAACTGACACAATCTTTGTCTTTATCAAGTGTGTCCTTGCACAACATACTTAGTTCAAAATCTTAAGTTTCTTTCTCTTTCAATTGGAGTTAATATTCAGACCTATCTCGTAGGGTTATTGTGGAACTCTAACCGGGCAGCTGGGGTCCGGTTGCTTGTTGCCATGTGTATGCGTGAGACAAGATTTGTATGGAAGGGTAATAGGTTTCTATTAATGGGGTTCCCATTTTGGGGGGGCAGGGAGCATTCCTCCTTTGAACCCTTACATAGAATGGCCCATGTTCCCCAAATGATTGTATACCAAAACCACGCTCAGAAGTTCCCCATGACTGGTTATTTGTCCTTCTGGAGGTTAAGCCGGCCTCACAAACAGGTCTCCGTCCTCCCTCTGGGGCGAGCACCTGCGGGTTTTCAGAGTTGCTGTCATCTCACAGCAGCAACCCTCTCTATGTCTGGGGAGCACAGCCAGATCACTCTGGACAGTTGTGCAGGGGAAACTCCATCCGTGAGGAGCCTCTGTGTGCAGCTCTCAGGGCATGAGAGTGGAAGCAGTTCAGGACTCACATGCCATGTACTGGGCGCAGTGTCTCAGAGGCCGGAGCCTGGAGAGGCAGGCATCCCAGTGTGGAGCCCTGCCTCTGGGGAGCGGACTTCCAACCGTGTGGGGCCTAAGCTCCTAGCGGTCCCAGTGTCTGCCGCGCCCACTGGAAGACTGGCAGCAATGGCTTTCTGCCATTACCGGGTCCTTGCTGGAGGAACAGTAGGGCAGCGGTGGTCCGGCCCCCTGGCTCTGCTGGAGCTGTTGCTGGCAGTGGGCAGGCAGCAGCGGCTGCAGCTTCCAGTCTGGGGAAGGGGCGTGGGGCTCGCCAAGACCTCACTGGAGGTGCGGGCTGCTGGCAAACCGCAACTGCTTCAGTCTCCCATGTCGGGGAGGGGTGCGGTGCCTGACCATGCTCCTTGCGCACCTGCTGGCCCAAGTCCCTTTCTCTGCCCTCCTACTGGAGCCTGCTATGCTCCTGCCCAGGCAGGTCCCAGAGTGCTTACCAAGCACAGCAGGTCCTGCTCCTGCGACGGTCCCTTCGCTTGGCTCAGGAGTCCGAGCCCTCTGCCGCCAACCAGGCAGCCAGGGAAGGGGAGAGCAAGAGCAGACAGTGTTTCCACATATTTTGCTTTTAAAAGGTGCCCCCATAATCCCCTTCACAGTGGAAGTAGATGGGAGGGTCTGTCCCTCTGTCCAATTACCTCCCTAATTTTGGGCACCAGTGCTATGTGCTTCCTTTTTGCCAAGTCATGCGCACATTGTGTGGGTTTCTGAGGCGATGGAGCACATGCATGTGCAGTCTTCCGGGCTTATCCCTCCCTCCCCATTTCTGGGGGTGTGGTCCCCCACACCATGACAAAATTATGTGACAAGATGAACATACATGGCACAAAAGGGGAGCTCAATATGAGCCAGTTGTTCCTGACCCCCCCCCCCCATGAATGAACCGTTATCAACAAGGCTGCTGTGAGAGGCCTTTTCCTCTTCCTGATTGGTACTTTAAGTCTTAAATCTTTTTTTGTGGAACAAATAAGTGGCAACAAATGAAAACAGCCAAACTTTTGCTTTACCCAAAAATGTAGGTAGCAGTAGGAACTCTGAAATCAATAACCAGGGTTCAAGTTCCTGCTCTGCTCTTTTCCAGCTTTGTGGACTTGGGTAAGAATATCTCTGGGCCTCAGTTTTTTTCACCTAAAAATAGGGGTAGGGTGATACCTGCCTCCTTCAGTTGTTACAAAGATTAAGTGGTGTGTATCTAAAGTGTTTGGAGCATGACCTATAGTAAGCATTAAGTACTTGGTGTTATATTATCATTGGTATCATCATCAGTACTGTTTGTTAGAGATTTTAGCATGTCCTGGAGATCAGTTGAACCCCAGGCTCACACCGTGAGAAATTCTGCAAGAGCCTATGCATTAAGCAGGAATGTATTCAGCCACTGCTAGTAGCCATAGGTCAGTGGTCATTCACTAGAGTTCAGCCATCTGGCAGGAAGCTGGCAGATGCTCTGAGTCTCTCCACATTGTCACAGTGAACAACTGGTCCAGAAATAACACGCTATAAAAATTCTGAAGGGAGCCAGCAAATGGGAAAGGGAATGACCCGTTGCACTGAGCAAATGGCACCGGCTAATGTGGGCATGGATTTGGAACCGGCCTCTGAACAAAGAACTAAAAGCCAGAAAATACAGCGGCTGTGGGACTAGGCTGGTTGGAAGTGAGCTGGACCAACAGTCCAGCTAAAGCGAAGTGTTTGAACCTTTAAGACAGTGACAGAGTCTGAAAAATATGCGATGCATCCTTTTTAAAGGAGACACTTTACATCTAGTGGTATGAAATATAAGGAAGGGATTTTGTATGATGTTAAGAATAATGGGCTTTTGAGTGTGTGAGAACTGGGTTTGATTTTTTTCCTTTTCATTTAAAAACTGTATGACCTTGGACAAGTTTTTCCATCTCTCGGGGTTCCTCACTTGTAAAATTAGGATAATAATTTTTTTAAATTATAGAGATAATGAAGGGATTAAATCACGTAACTGTATAAAAAGCTTAATAGTGTCTGGCACCTAATAGGCACTGAAATGGTATGTTACTGTTATTCTTGTTATTAATTAAACACCATCTGCCAACCTTTTTTATATCACTAGAATTTCTTCCTTGGGTTACCATTTTCTGTTACCTCCTGTGCCTTGGTTTAGCTTTTCAATTATGTGCAATAGACAGAACTTTTGGATTCTGCCCTTCTTGTGTCCAACTAACGACTTTGACATCACATAACTCAGTGTTTACCTTCTGGGCTGACTTTGATATTAGGGGTCTGTATCATTTTTACTTGTTTGTTCAAGGTCTTAGTTTCATTATGTTCTATCTGTGAGTGGACAAGAGATCAAGAAATCAAATGAGCCCTAAGGAATCATCTAAGTTTGGGAGACATTGGAGGAAGGCAAGGAGCAGGGTCTACCAGGTCAGAGAGGAAGAAAGAGAGGCATTAACTGACGATTTGGGATGAGTATTTATCTAAAAGGAGTAAGAAATACTTGCTTTAAGTGGCTTGTACTGAGAACCAGGTCAATTCTGACATGGGCTCTTAAATTAGGAACAGAGTTTTGGGTTAATTCCTTTTTATGGGTTTTATGGATCATTTTCTGTGCTACTTTATTTCAAATTGATTATAAAAATTAGAAAAAAATAAAGGCAAGTTAGAGTAAGAGCTTTCTCATGGGGTAATAATACAAAAAATACAGTTTTTCTACATAGCTGACTTGATTTCTATCCATTTTTCTCCTCCACTCTGCCACATTTATCTCTTGAAATTGGGCTATCAGAGTTTGGGTAAATTAAGCCATGATTTTTAGGTTTAATTCCATTAGCTCCAATGTTCTTCTTTTAGCGGTAAGTTCCAGGCAGTCCCTGAGGAACTGTTGATAGATTAAGAGTCATTTTTACAACCAGGAAAGCATTGTCCATCTGTAGGTTCTCCAATAACATTGTTTTGCTCAATGTCTTTTGTCATAAAGTTGATGGATTGCCATAGGAACTTAACTCGTGTTTATTCCAATTAGGTTCTGGTAAACTTGGTTTTGTTTTGTGTCATTTGACTTAAAAGTTGCAGAATCTATTGATGATGTTAAGTAAGGACTTAGTGTAAAGAGATTCATTGCGGGCCAACAATGTCACCTTTCTATAAAAAGATAGAACTCCTGCAACCTGGTTCGCACATCATCTCTGTCAGAGCAGTAACAGTTTTGCCATTGTCCAAGATTATCACCTTAAGGACATGGACAACACTGAGGTAGTTGATGGGGGGGAGTATAAGGGAACTAAATGGTAATGGGGAAAATATAATAAAGATTATATTAAAAAAGAATAAATATGAGCAGGTGAAGTAAACAAAAAAAGACTTTGGGTTTGTAATGCACAAACTCAGAAACAGTGATACTCATACATGTAAAAATAGACAGACTAGGTAAAAATACAATTTTCTTTGCACTTCAAGTACAGTGTTTCTTACCTGATTGTCTAGTACTGGTACCTCCCTCCAAACCCTGGCCTGGGAATTTGTTCATTTTTTATGCTATGTTTACCTCTGGTGTATTTCTCTTGCAAGCTTTCTGGGACTTTGGGAAATTAGGCAGTTTGGTTCCTTAAAGTGTTCAAATGCAACGGTAACTGATGATTTACTACTGCCTTGTATTAAAATGCATTATTTCTTTGTGTACCTTACAGGTGTTTCTTGTAGGGTGGGCAAATTGCAAGACAAATCATCACAATAAAATGATATCATATGCATATATGAGAGAGTTCCTATAAGGTAAGTGAAGGTCATCACCAGCCATTTGTCAATCAGGCATGTTCTCGAAGTCTTTCTCCTCAACCCCAGTTATGGTGGGTGGCTTGGGGTGAACATAGGTGTGTGCCTGTTGGATAAGTGCCATAGCCTCTTGGTGTTTCAGTTTGTTTATCTGTAAAATGGGGACATCACTAGTGCTCTTTCAGAGGATAGTTTTGAAGAAAAAATTGAGGTCATATATGCCAAGTGATGGATGTACAGGTAATATTCACTTGGTAAATGATAGCTTTTATTGCTACTGCTAACTCATCTTGTGGCTGATAGATGTATAATTGCTAGGTGACTGGTTTTGGTTAGGGATGCAACGTGTAGCCTTACATCAGATTAGAATTTCACAGTTTCGCTGGAGATTGAGTTGTTACTTACTGGTGGAACTCGTAAGGAAAACCATTTTAGGAAGAAATGAACACTAGATTGTTCAGATATTTCTGGGTAATTCATGTGGAATGTTCCATTATGAACATCTTATAAAATTATGCTTATAAATACTGCAGCTTTTGTCTTTTTGTAAGCATAATTTTAATTCTCAGAGCTTAACTTCAGAGTAATGACCAAGATGGTAACATTTCACCTTCATGTAATTTGGAGATTGTCTTTTTCCCAAGATAATTTTAGGTATTTGGCTTGAAAAGGAAACTAGTACATAAATTCTTCTATTCACAACATTGCTATGAGTTATCAGTTCATAGTATTATGTAATAACAATTACATTTTTGCACACCTGTTTATTCTAGGAAGTAGCCAAATCTTTGGGAAATAAAATCCTGTCTCTCCCCTCAAGGAATTGACAGTCTTGGCAATGGACAGAAATACAAATAATCACTACCATGTAACAGGAGATACACTATAAGCAAGTCTTATACAAGAGATAAATAGAAAGAAGAAAAAAAAACCTATGACTTAGGTACAGCTAAGAGTTATGCTATAGGAGTATAAAATGATACATTTTGACCAAGAAAGGATTTTGGAAAATATCAAATTAAAACAAGCATCATTTAAAACCATGGCTGCAACCTCAGAAAATTAGCAGGAAAACTATAAGAACAGACATCCTTATGGTGCCTCTTTACTTTTCCTGGTTTTAGCATAATAAAGGGCTTTCCAGTGAAGGAGAAAGACCACACTGCTACTACAGAGCCTGGTGAGCTGTCAGGATGCAGAGTGGTCAGAATTCACTGACAGCATCTTAGGAGAGAGGTGGAACACCAGTGACTACCTCCTTTCAGGTGAGCCACCTCGTGAACGGCCATTAAAAACAATTCCTCCCCTTTTCTTTCTGTGAACTGTTCATTTACTAGTTTTTACTCATTGCTTTATGGACCTTGCTTCACATTTCCGGTTTATCTCCTAGACTTCAGATTTACGTCTTCTTTTTGTCTGGCTCCTTGTGGAATCATCATTATCATAAGTAATGAGTGAAGGCCTGCTGTGCCCACCTCTAACCCTCACACACTCTCCATTCATGGTTGATTTTATCATCAGCTTATAAGGAAACAATTTAAGTCACTTCTTTACAGTCTCATAATAAGTGGAAGAGCAGATATTTGAACCCATGTATACATCTGACTCTAAAATTTGTTTTTTCCTCTCTTCACAGCACTACTTCTATATAAATGACTCATGGTGCCACCTCTGCCTGCCCCAGACTGCTGTGTTTGACGCCCAATTAACTACACGCTGTTGTTGATGAATCAGCATACCCGGGAGTCTATTGTGCCAGGAATTCAGGCAGGAATGCACCATAGACTCCAATGAGAAGAAATGCAAAAAGATTCAGGTAGACAAGGCCCTACATCAATGTGAAGGGGACCTGGACAAAATCAGAGTATTCCTCTTATTTTTAGCCAAACTTGTGATACTATAACTGTGCCCACCTGTTATTTGGAAGTAAAAAATCTATCTCACACAAGCCTCACTGGGCAGAGGCTCACCTTCTCCTGAGGGTCCTCCCAGTCAAGAGCTGGGCAAGGCCATTTCTGTTTCATTTGCCAACTGAGAAAGGTGGCCTTGGGAAGAGTGCTTCTGGCTCCAGCCTCTGCTCACGCCTTCAATTTTTGTTGTCACCATTGATCAACACAGGCACATAAGGAACAGATCAGATGACTAGTACGGTGTGCTGGGGGCCATAATAAAAGGTGGTTGGGTTTGAGTCGGCTTAGTTTAAGTCCAGCCTGAACATGTGAGCTGTTTCCCTTTATCAGATACTATGAGTTCCTTACTCCTGATGAGTGTATCATGGAATGGTGTGTACCATACATCAAGCTAATGAATAAATAAATGCAACAGTAATTGAATGTCTGCACTCATGATAAACATTCCTCATAAAGAAAAAAATAAAGAACATTCAGGGGGCACAAAATAGTCCCAGTAAGGTAGCATTCTAGCCTGATTTCATTATCAGAGGGCAACTTCTTGGCAATGTATGTCTGGTCCACGGAGAAAGCAGAGACTGAGGATGGCAGAGGTTTTTCTGAGTATGATTCTTCTCCCACATTTTCCATGTACGTTTTCACCTGCCTGAAGCCCTTTTTGCCAGGGAGACGGTAGAGTGCAGTGATTATGAAGATGGGTTCTGGAGACATGGGGACGTGGGCGTCCAAAGCTTGCCAGTTTCTAGATACATGATCTTGGGCAGATTGGTTACTCATCATTAACATTGGGGTAATGATCTCATTCCCACTATCATAGGACTAAATTGTGTTGTTATTGTTTTTACTCTTGTCTGACACCCTCTAGTGGGGAGGCATAGATGAGGTCACAGTGAGGTCATTTATAGCTGGTTCAACCCCCAAGATTCTGAGACTCCAGTTCCTTTAGGTTTTCCAATATTACTTCCCCACATTATACATGGAGAGTATAATAAAGGAGCTTTCCAATTTAACCTTTGCTCCAGGTGTTTAGTAATAAGGACTGATATTCTTGTGTACCTCCACAGTGACTTACATCTGGTGGAAGGCATGCAGGGCTTCCTTAAGTCATAAGCACTGTTTTCAGACAACTCCTTAAGCTGCCTCTGGTTCAGACTGTTCCAAAGCTTCTCTAATCCTCCTAGATCAGCAGGTCATGTCTGGACCTCTCTTTATTCCTGAAGGGTGCTAGCCAATACTCTGAATTATTTACCATGTGCGAGTACTTCCAAATACTAAGATCTTTGGGGCTATGGCTCTCTTCATGCATCTCACACCTTCTTGTACTTGGGCTGTTCGCAACCTCTTTGAGAGCCACTTCAAGGACACTTTTGTCCCAACTCAATTTTCTAGTCTTGGAGATCTTAAAAGATGCATAAACTTCAGAGAATTTATGTAACATTGTGTATATGCATGTGTCTGCATGTGCATTTTTTATTAGAAGGAATATATTATTTATTAGATTCTCAAGTTGTTGTTTTCACTCCTAAATATTAAGAATCATTCATGGTGGTCAGTGGTTAGTATTCTACAACAATCACAGAGGCATAGGTCTTTGATGAGCTATGGGTCTTTCTTAATTCTCTTCTCACATGGGTCTATAGAAGCAGTTATACAATCTCAGTTGTCTTGCCTTTCTTTCCTTACCAACCTCTCTTCCATCTCCCAAGAGAAAGGTTCATCTTTAGATGGTAAAGTTCCCATGGGGATGCTACAGTGCCTTGCTATCCCCTTCATCCTCCTCACCCTCTATATCAAACTGTGTCCCTCCTCATCCTCAGAACAGTGTATAAAAATCACTTCCTTTGTACTCCTCCAGTGTGAAGTTCATATCAGTTCATATCACTGTCTACCAGATAGTAGGTGATCACATATATTTCTGTGTAGATTTCTTGTGATTATCTTCCCTCCATCTAGAACTTCTGGACCAGTGGCAGCATGTTTCCTTTTGATTGACTTTTCATCCCTCCTCCTTTTCATCGACTCTGTGTAAAGAAGAGGGTCTATGCCCAGTGGATGACCTTACAGCTTCTTTATCTCAGCAATACATTTGGAGGATGAAGTGGGATAATGTACATAGAGTGCTTAGCTTGGTACTTAGCACACAGTGGGGCTAAATAACTGGTGACTACTATTAAAATAGTATTTCATGGTTCATGTCTCAGAGAAGGCTGGAGTTTGTAAGTTGTTTAGTGGCGGTACTTTTTCTGTCTCCACTATGCTCTGCCATCGTGGAGAGAACTTTCTACACCAGACTCAGCAGCGAGTGAGCAGGTAATGAACGGCTCCTGGCTTGGGCAGCGGAATGCATAGGCATGCACGAATGAGGTGCATCATTGTCACATGATGGGACTCTTAGGCTGTCTGCTTTCCCGCATGAGCAATGGGGAGGAGGCAACAGCTGCTTCTGATGCTTCTGGTAATTACGATGGAAGAGGATTCAATTCCATGTAGAATCCAGGACCTGAAGGGAGCAATCTGGGCTAAGTCAGCATGTGCCTAATGAAATTGTTTAGCTTAGGCTGTGGCCTTATCTACCACAAGCTGTGATCTACTGTGCCTAACAAAGCCATCCTCCGAGACACTTTTGCTTGGGAAGGGGAAATGATCAGTGAAATTCACTCCTTGTATCTAGCCTCCAAATGTGTACAATGACCCAAGTGACTTGTAGGCTAGATTGGAAAATAACTTGCTGTCTATGGTCTACAGAGGAGTTTCTGTTTTTAAATGGTAGAGCAACACTTGTCTAAAGCGCCTTCCTCAAATCAGCTGGAACTTTCTCCAAGGCTGCTGAGGCTACCTCTTTAACGACTTCCCATTGCTCAGTATTGCTCCCAGCAGCCACCATGGAAAATGAATCATATTCTCAGATGGGTTTCAATTAGATGCCCAATTTACTAATATGCCACCGTGTGGCTGTCAGTGACTGGAATCTCACACAGTATTTAAGCTACTGGATCCTGAGTCTCAAAGTCTATTTCACTCTCACTACATGAAATCCTGCTGCCACTTTTCCCCAAGTAGAAAATGGGTTGAGGCCGGAGGACCCTGGATACCAAACCACGGCACAAGTGAGAGTTATAAGATCACCCTTTCTTAACCTCTCCCTAGGCTTAACCAGGAGAGGAATGGAGGAAGTTGTAGGAGTATGATATGGAGGCATTTTGGATTTTGTGAGTTCCTACATGTCACAAAGAGAGGTGACTGTAGTCACCACGAGTTGGTCAGTCAACTTCTAGCAAAAACTCCTTCTTAGAGCATGTGCATCTTGCAGGGCACTTCATGTGTCCCTTGACTTTGGTTTGTGACTAGTATTATGTAGCATTCCCACGCTGGCATCTCATCGATATGGACTTTCAGCTTCGATGCTTAATGAAAATAAGTACTGCAACCACCCCTGACTAATAGCCCGACTTTGTACCTGGATTTTAAAAATTGTTGCATGAATTGTATTGGCTGGAGTGGACATGTTGGGGCTGGAGATGACTAATTTTCCTGTTGATTTAGTAGAATCGATAGTTTAAAAAAACAATTAAAAAACAAGCAAACAAACAAAATGGACTAATTTCTCTTTCAAAGTAAATTGCTTATTGGACTGAATTTGATAGAATCATCTGGTTGTTCTGGCATCATATAGACAGCACATGATTATCTGATGTGTCAAGCTGAAGAACACTGAAATGGATCAATGAAACAGCTGTATCTAATGAAGTAAACACTAAAGCGTCATGTAAATGGCAATTCCTACACAACACTAGGTGATGTTTTTGCTTGTTCTCAGCAGAGACTGAGGAGTGAGATTACAGAAAGTCCTATTTACTTGAGATTTAATGAGACTCTACCATGTTTCCTCAGTGAAGGCACAGAGTATGTTTGTTAACCACTATCAGTTGAATACTTACACTGAGCTAATGGCTGCATATTTTCCCCTGGGGGGGAGGAGCAAGGGTAAGAAATGAGCTGGCCTGGGTTTGTCCTTGGCATTTATATGACTCAGGGCAAGAGTGAAAATAGAGATCTAAAGGACATAGATCTTTTAAAGTTATAAATCAAGCTCATATATGTTTATATAAAATATGCTCTGTCCTCCTCCCTTGACAAATATAACCTGATGTTACCCTGGAAGGCCAAGTTCAAATTGAGAACTCCAGGATGTATCACAATTTTGTGCTGAAACCTGGTGATGTACAGAGAGCCACCCCTTGGCTTCAGCCCCTAGCCTGTGGCTTGCCGTATTTCCCTGCATGTCCAGCTCCTTTCTGCACAAAGGCAGATTCCCCAGCTTGCACATCCGAGCTTGATCTGTACCCTTAAACCATTGCTTCTGGCCAACCTTTGGATATTCATCTCACTGGTGTGGCTAGTCCCAGCTAGATTGTATCCAGGCATGAAGGGCATTTGGGCATGGAAGTCTGAAGTCCTGGGTAAACAAAACATGGTCTCAAAGACAGAACCTGGGCTTTTGGTAGTCAGGTCCTCTTGGCATGTGGGGTGAATCATAGCCGAACTTGTCTCTAAGAGCAGAACTGAAATTGTTTCAACTGTAAAGCTGTTTGCTTTGTATCTCTGGTTCAGCTTTGTTTTCCACTGTATTAGTTTACACTGAGTCTGTCCATATTCTGTTGAACGATTAGCTCTTAGGCACTTGGAACTTTACCCAACATTCCTCTATTTTCTTACGGTTGCAGAATATGACACTCTTTATAGCCCCATGGAACAGGACAGGACATTGCTTTAAAGACAGAGGCTGTCACAGGCTCTCTCGTTTATAAGCTATGTGATATCAGGATGTTTAGTTAACTTCTCAAAATCTCTATAATGGCAGTACTAATCCCTGGTTTTTAAGATAAAGTAAGAATTGAATGAGGAAAGGTATAGTGTGTGTCATGTAGTAGACTCAATAATGGTTAAGAGTAGAATTAATTGTTATTATTGCTTTGTTGTCATTATTGTTGAAGAATGAGAACTATGGAGTTAGACTGCCTGAACTTGAATCCTTGATTTACGTGCATCACTTATTGTGAGAACAAAGGCATATTGTTGAACTTATATGTGACTCATAGGTTGTTGCATTAGTGAGAGTTCTCCACAGAAATGGAAAAAAGAGGAGATCTCTGTCTCTGACTCTTCCTTTCTGTCTCTCTATCCATCCATCCATCCATCTAATAGAGAGACATTATAGGAATTGGCTTGCCTGGTTACGGAGGGTGACAAGTCCCTTAATTTTTGATCTGCAGTCTGCAATCTGGAAAACCAGG